GCTGTGCCGATGCGACTACCTGTATTCTTCTACCATGCATTTTGTTTTCTACATATGAGCGTATTTTCACATAGACTTTTATCCATATAATAGCAGGTTTACAATTGACTAGAATTAGTAAATCCAGTGGATTTAAAATTGCCAATTCCATTGGATATACGTCAAAAAATCCACACCCATTTAAACTTATTGTTAGCCTACATTATTGGGCTTTATTTCTTATTCCGTATTTATTCTATCAATTTTACCATATATAAATATGTAGACCTTCTCGTTTAGATACAAAATATTAATCTTTTATTTTTTAAACGCATTATTTGTCTTGTGAACGGTCACGGCCTATCTAAATAAACACCTATTTTTCATCATCAACTGTTCCTATATTTGTTGTTTTGACACATCATTCTTGGCTATTTTTGGCATTCTCGGTTGTGTATGTATATGTAAACAAACATCAGCTGAGCGGCATTCATTCAGCCATTATCAGACGGAATGAGTCTTAAGGTGAGAATATATGCATTGCATATGTAAAAAAAACTCCTTTGTGAAAATCTCCAAAGAGTTTTAGCAAATCATGTGATTTAAATCACAACTCGTTTCGATGATCAGCTGTTGTAATGGAGAGTACCCGTTAATTGTGACATGTACAATTCTTTATATTTTATGCTGCAACTATAGTCTCAATTATGCATCTTGATATTCAGTTTAGTAGTAAGCTGGGGGGATCTTATGATTGGGTCATGATTTCTATGTTAATTTCTCGCTACAGGATATTTGGCTGTTACTCGAATTTTTGTCTGGTTGTGTATGTATACATAAACAAACTTCAGCTGAGTACCATTTATATCCTCCTACTGGTGTATGTAAACAAACAAGTTTTAACCACAAGATATATTGAACCCTACGAGTTAACCTTTAAAGTTTTCGGTACTTTAAGAACATTATTGTTCGGTCCTAAATGCTGACACATCCAGTGGATTTAAACTATAAATTTTATTGAATAAGTTTCAATTGAAATCCACTGGGTTTAAGAGTGTACGAACCGACGTTTAAAACGTGTACGCTATGAAATTGACATTTGAAATCCCTTAGACGTATTGTATGTAAACATGTTTATATATAATAGAACTTTGTCTTCTTATCTTCCAAAGTCTTTTACATTTTATTTTTCCGAAAATTGTCTTGTTGTCTTTTGTTTTTTGAAAAGTCCTAAAATATTGATAAATCTATATTCCCAATATACCCTATTAAATCCCAACAATTTGTATTCCAACAAGTTGAAGTGCACATTTGTCTCAACGACTTTTTTAAACATTGTTTTAAAGTGTTTTAAACAAACATTCGCACATACATATATGTGTCGTCAGGCTGGTAATCCCCTTCTATTGTAAATTACACCGCATGCCAACACAGCTTTATCAGATTTTGATAAGGTTTATTGGCCCATATTTCTTATACTATATACATGTGAGAAATATTAGCCATAGTAGTTTAATTCTTGATAGGAAAGGACCTTGACCATATATATCTGTGTGTAAACTACGTATATTTCATATGACCACCTTTCGTTTTTTTAAAGATTTCGTTGTGATGTCATTGATTAGTTTATTGCGCCTAAATATTGATTAGATCTAAATTTCACAATCTATATCATTTGTGGGTTTTTTAATGGAATTCTTGTGAATATTAGGGGGATCTTTTTTTATAAAACAAGTGTTAACCACATTTTAGTAAAACATATATTTTTGAAATAGATATCAAATGAATTCCCAGGGTATTTTTGAGGTTTTCGATGACTGTGCTCTTTGAATGAGAACTAATAAAAATGCATTATCATTAGAATTTATCTTTAAAATTAAACTTGTTATAAACAATTAAAGATGTTTGCACACTTTTCAACCCATAATGAAGGATTTGTTCATTAAAGGTATTCAAAAAAGTAATATTACCTGTTGCAATCATTTTGACATTAATAACCCAACATTTCACAATTGATATTGAGACGTGTGCGCCAACTGACACATAAAGAGGTTTTTGAACTGACGTTTGTTGTCATTGTTATGCGTGTGTGTTTTTAATAACAGTCAACAAGGTAGTAGTCATAAATTACCTTCAATCTTTCAACATGACATTTTAAAGCGAGGGGGGATTTACCCGAAGGAAGTTCATAAAAAATGCGTGTTTTAAAAAACATCTCCAAACGAAAATAGTCGGATTAAGGAAGATAAAAACGATCTGAGAGAGAGGCGAGGGAATGCCGTATACATTGAATGATTAATAGGCTTCTCTGTGATTGTTATGTCGTATGCCACTAATTAAAAGTTCTTATACTCCCCATGTTTGGGTAGGGTGTAATTATAAACATTATTAAAAAACGTTGTTATCTTTGTAAATACACCTTTGGATGGCACTGGGAATATTTAACACAATTATGACTGCACAAGATAAATTGTGCCATCAGGTCTAGTAAAATAATTTATTCAACATTCTTGATATCATGGAAAAAATTTTGCGGCGATAAAGTCACGAAAAAATAAATATTTTAGAAATTTAAACAAAGTCAAATAAATGATAGAATGAAATGTCACATTCAGTTTGAACTCAAAATATGAAATAGCTTTATAGCATGTTTACATAAGAGAAAACGAAGGAATACTTTAAATCGGAAATGCAGTGGCGTTCTTTTGAAGTCTACTGGATTTCGTATGTGTAAACAGACTCTAAGCCATATCTGTGGGAAAATATGTAAATGTATTGTATTTAAAAGAGTTACAAAGGGTGTTTTTATAAAAAAAGATGCATTGTTAGAAGAATACAGGTAGATGCATCGACGCTTAGGCACATTGGTATGTCCAGTTTTGTAATTATTATTATTATTATTTTTGTTTTTTCAAAAATCAGTGGATGTTTATATATATTTTTTTAAATTTTTAACGAATTTGAATATTTTTTAATTCAAAATATTCAATTTGAAAATTGGTTTGACAGTTCATTGTCCCTGCAGCTGTGTCGATGCAACTACCTGAATTCTTGTACCATAGAAAGAGCATAGCGGTTATCTTAGGGATCTTTAATTCGAATTATGTCTGTGTAAGAAAATTAAGAGAGTGGAGACATTTCATCTATCTACAAAAGACCTTCTTCTTTCTAAAGTTGCTATAAGGCGATAAGTGTTTTACATATGTAGTGTCAAATGTTCCATATGTAGAAATTGCACACATCGTGTAATACATGGACGACATTTCAGTTGTGAAATACGTGAGTAAAGTACATATGTACTTTTTCGATCACTGCGAGCTCTATTTTCATCGAAAAAATATAATTTCATCAAAAGCGCCACAGAAAGAAAATAGACCCAAAAGAGCTAAAGAGTTGCTTCGCTTGGCCGAAAGTGGTGAACTACCGAATTTGGTTTACTCCGGCGAGAAAACATTCGTTGTCCAGCAGTTTTTAAACAAACAAAATTATCGTGATTACTTGCCAAAGAGGTCAGCTGAAAATGTGCACCTTCGGTTGGCCACCAGAACTCAAGCGCCAGCCATGGTGATGGTGTGGGCCACCATAACAGCCGATGGTCGCTCTCCGCTCGTATTAATCGACCGTGCCATCAGAATATTATCTCGAAAATATTCTGGAGGGTGTATTAAAGCCTTGGGCACGAAAAACATTTTGGCCGCAGACCTTGGACATTCCAACAGGACTCAGCACCATCGCACTCAGCTAGCGCCACCCAAGAATGGTTACAAAATGAGCGCACAATGGCCAACAAAATCTCCGGATACCAATCCGTTGGACTATTGTGTCTGGAGTATTTTGGAAAGCAGGGTTGGCACTAAAAAATACCAAAGTGTCGATCACCTCAAGCAAGTGCTTCGCCGGGAATGGACCAAAATACCGCAAGGCAACATTCGGGCAGCGTGTGACAGTTTCATTGGCCGTTAGAAGGCCATAATTCTTGTGACCAATTCGAACAAATCTAAACTTATTCTAAAATTTGATGATATTTCCGACATTTAAGATTTTTATGTACTTGCACCTTTATCGTCTGATGACAGCTTAGCCTTAAAAGGACTTTTATGGACAAAAGATCTAAAAAAGGTCTTCCATGAAGACAGTCTCTGGAAAGCCCTCTACCCACAAACGGCTTTCAATTCTTATACCCTCTCAGGAAATTATCAGATCTTCTGTATTGAAGACACATAGAAGGTCTTTTTATAGAAGACCTGAAAAAGTTATTACTTTCATACCTTTAGACGATTTCATGTCATATTTCTGAATTCTAATTCATATATTTTTGCTTAAATATTTTCTCGAACATTACAGTACGTTTACAGGATTTAGAAGACCCAGTGGATTTAAATTCCATTGCATATAAATCAAATAAATCCTCATAACGCTTGTTAACCCGGAAAAAGCTCTAATGTAAACATACCATTAGGGTCTTAGAGTCAAGTGTTTGCTGAATCTAATATGTTTGGCTCTTTTTTTAAATAGCCCAAATTCAAAATAAATTATTTTTAAAATTAAAATTATTTATAAATGTTTCAATGAAACCAAATCTTCATTCTGTTTTCAAATTTTTCCATGACTTCTCAGTTTATCGTGATTATATTTTTAAATTTTCTGTTTTAAATTTTGTTCCCAACTTTCCATAAAGTTCAGCCACCTCTTGTTCCAAGCGTATTTCAAAATAAATATTTCTTTCAATTAATTATACATTATTAATTTTGTTTTCGTTTTTTCGGTGTTGTTTTCTTTAGACCAAAAAAATAAAATATTCATAAATTAGTTTTTAATTACACAATAGAAAAACAAACTTCATAAAAAAAAACAAAAAAACACTTGTCTTTGTCTTCAAAACAACACAAGTTTATTTTAATTATAAGTTCACAATTGGTTCGGCTTGAAGTGTGTTTTGTTTTTAATTTTCATCTTTTTTTCCTTGCTTGAATTTTGCAAAAATTTCACTTAAGTTTCTTTTAATTTTCAGAAAAAATCACCTTTTCACAATATTTGTTTTTATTTATTTCTTTCTTTTTTCGTGCGGCTATTCAAAACTCGACGATCTTAACGGCTCCGTTCCAACAGTTCACAACGTATAGACAACCGCACGCGACACGATCTCAACTCGTTCTGAACGTCGACCAACTGATTTTGTTGGCATTAAAGCTCAGAAGAAAGAAGCAGCGAACAACAAAACTCTACAACAACACAGACAAAAAACAAAGTTAACAACCAATTCAAATGCAATAATTTACCAATAATTCTTGATTATTTCTTAACTGATATTGGTTTATGGCCCAAAGAAATCAACAACAACCAAACACATACTTAGATACTCACTCTCACATACATACTGTCACATATATATTTTAAGACATATACGCTCCCGGCCATTAAACACTGTTAGTTATAAATAACAAATGTTATATACAAAATTCCTACATATGTATGTATGTGTGGATGTATATCGGAAACCCGAGTCAGTTTAGTGCTCTTTGGCGCTAAATATTGCTTGTTTTTTTTTTTTTTTTTTTTTTTTTTTTGTTGGCAGTTCTCACCACCTGAGCTGGCCGAACGCGCTTTTGGCTAAATCACATTGAGGCGGTTTAAACTGATTACCCCCGTTATCATCAGCCCGGCGTCGGCTAATTCACTTGTCCAGTTGGACAACTAAAGCTAATTCATTGGGTCATTGTCGATCGATAAAGAAAAACGCGCGACACCGACGCACTTTACAAATCATGATCATGATCGATTATAGTTTTATTTTACGAAATTTTTGTTAGTACCTACAATTTTTTTATAACTGACATGAGGTTAAGCAGAATTGTTCGTTGAGAAAACGCTGTTCAAACATATCAATTGAACTGATAAGCAATTAAACAACTTTAAATGACGAAATTAATATTTAACACGGGTAAAAAATAAGCAAAGTGCTCTTAGCGGCCACTTTAAAAGATATTCTGCGAGTCCAGACAATTCCCAAGAAGTAGATAGCGAATTTTTTGAACAAAGTACGGCTACACAATTAAAAGTTTTGCAGATAATACGATCACAAGATCGTCGGTAATAAAATCAATATATGTACAACAAGCTAATGTTAGGGTATGTTTACACATACGAAATCGAGTGAACTTCAACTGCTTAGGACTAAGATATGAAGATACGTCATTTATTTGACAAATAATCAATGAATATGACAATCTAAATAACGTGTTTTATTAAAACATTTCCCGTATTAATAAAAGTACGATTAGATTTACGAAATCCATTCGACCTCAAACGTAAATTCCATAGCGTATATGTCAAATAATATCCACTGCATTTAGAAATACGATTTACGTGATGTATACGCCATGGTAGAAGAATATAGGTAGACGCATCGACGCAGATGCTGGGACAATGAACTGTCAAACCAATTTTGGAATTAAAAATGTTGAATGAAAAATTATTTAAATTTGTAAAAATTATTGAAAAATGCATATCTTTACAACCCACGATTTGTGTCGTACAAGAAAACATACAAAAATCTGCTTATATTAAAAAAAAAACATTTTAAAATTTTTGACGTATCAATGTTCCCAAGCGTTGATGCATCTACCTGTATTTTTCTACCATGGTATACGCTATGGAATTGGCATGGGAAATCGGGTGGATTCTTTAGTCTAAACATACTTTAAGACTCCATACGTCACATGGTAGAAGAATACAGGTAGATGCATCAACGCTTGGGAACATTGATACGTTTTAATATAAGCAGATTTTTGTAAGTTTTGTTATACGACGTCAATCGAAGGTTATTATAATATGCGTTTTTTAACAATTCTTACAAATTTGAATAATTCTTCATTAAAAAATTTCAATTTCAAAATATGTTTGACAGTTCATTGTCCCAGCAGCTGTGTCTGTATTCTTCTACCATGATACGTCAAATCTAAAATCCAATGTTTTTTTGACGTGTACACAATGCAATTGTAATTTGAATTCCACTGGATAACGGATATGTTTCAGTTTAGTTTGTTCCTTTATAAAATATAAATCAGCTGTTTTTTATTAAATGGTTATTTATTTTTGTTCCAGTTTCTAAGAACAAATTGAGGCATTCTGTGTAATTTAAGATGAGATACCTTATATTTTTATACCCTCCACCATTGTATGTATGTCATTCCTTTTGTAACACCTCGAAATATACATTTTAGACCCACAGCATAAAATTCTTGATCAGCATAAAATTCTATGGCGATTTAGCGATGTCCGCCCGTCTGTGGAAATCGCTTTAGCTTCCGAACGAAATTAATTAGGTTGATAAAATTTCACCCAATTGTATATTATGTCCTCAGGACTTTTATTATTGAAAATGGATCATGTAGGTCCACGTTTTGATATGCCCCCCACATAATTATACCTCCTTTTTCGGTATTTTGGTGATTATAAACCGAAAATGTTTCAAATTTGGTATTTGAAGTTCGTAATGGGTACTACAGCCTACGACAGAAAATTTTCTCTGAAGGTCCACGTCTTCGTATAGCCCCCATATAACGGTATAAACCCTAATATAACTGCTACATTCGGTATTTTCAAGATTTAAACAGAATTTTTAACGGATTTTATTTATTTATTTATTTTTTTTTTTGAAAATTGCCAAAATCGTTGCAAAAATCGTTAGAGGTTATTCAAAGATCGACGCGGCCGAACTTGCAGCTTTTTTACTTGTTTTACTCCACTTTTTTATTGTTAAGAAATAGGAATTGATTTGTTTTGACAAATCAGCTGATTTCATGTTGGCTTTTTTAGAGGGTAGCTGTCTTTTTACTTCTTACTGTTTTCTTACAAAAGAATATAAATCTATCTTAAGGTGAGAATACATAAAACGCTTTTCTGACTGACTTCTTCGGAAAAGAACAAAAGAGCGTAGGGCCAAAATCGAACTAAGCCAACCTAAAACTCTTTTGTCAAAAAATCTTTTTACGTAACCTTTATTTTCCCCGCATGGATCAAAATCAACAATAACAAGTAAAAAAACATTAAGTTCGGCCGGGCCAAACTTTTAATACCCTCCACCCTAGGGTAAAAGAACATTAGAAGAAATGTGGCAAAAAACATTAAAATGCCGAATATCGGGAGGTACCGTTATATAGGGGCTACACCAACACGTGCACCTATTATTATAATGTTTCGCCACACGAACTAGGACCCATTATGACCCACAAATACTTTTACACAAATCAGTGAAAAAATGTGGCATAAATCATCAAAATACCGAATATCGGGAGGTACCGTTATATGGGGACTATACCAGAACGTGGACCTATACATGCAATGTTTTTCTACACGCTCAGGGACCCGTTGTGACCTACAAATACCAATTTTCAGACAAATCCGTGAAAAAATTTGGCATAAATCATCAAAATACCGAATATCGGTAGGTACCGTTATATGGGGGCTATACCAAAACGTGGACCTATACATTCAATGTTTTGCCACACGCTCAGGGACCCGTCATGACCTACAAATACCAATTTTCAGATAAATCCGTGAAAAAATGTGGCATAAATCATCAAAATACCGAATATCGGGAGGTACCGTTATATGGGGACTATACCAGAACGTGGACCGATATATCTCATTTTCAATACCAACCATCCTAGGGACAATACACACACTTGTGCCAAATTTCAAAGGTCTACGTCAAATAATGTGGGCTCTATCGTGATTTCAACAGACAGACAGACGGACAGACAGACAGACGGACAGACAGACAGACGGACATCGCTAAATCGTCTTAGAATTTTATGCTGATTATGAATATATATACTTTATGGGGTCTACGACGAATATTTAGAGGTGTTACAAACGGAATGACAAAGTTAATATACCCTCCTACCCATGGTGGAGGGTATAAAAATCAGTCAAACATTCCCAGGATACCGCTCAGTTAGTTTTGGTTTACAAACAATTTGAAGTTTATTGTTGTTGTCCGACGCTTTCGCAAAACAGTGGTGAATTCCATTAGAATGTAGATTTCACACCAGATTTAAAAAATCCATTTTTCAATTTCATTGACAAGAAATATTTTTGTATGGTAACAATACGTTTACATATAAAAGGGTTAAGCCACTGGATTTGGATTAAAATTTTCATATCCATTACTTATACTCCAAATAAATCCTCTTAAAGTAGGTTAACCCTACAAAATCTTTTAATGTAAATATGGCATAAATCTAGTTGAATAAATCTGTTAAATTTTCCGATAATCTGGATAAAAATTTGTATGTAAACACGCTATTGGTCTGCAATTGATACCTAATGCAATCAATACCAAATAACTATGTTTTCAGGCAGCATTTACATTGAAGCTCTTTACAATTATAATTGATCTGTCATGATTCATTTGACATATGTCAAATTAGAATAAAATAATTTGTCTGTAACTATAGCAAATTTTTCCTATGTTTCTTTTTCTTCTGATGGAAAATACATTCGACCTTTGGATGTTAATACTGATACCGAAGTATAGGAATTGCAACACAATCTACTGTTTCCTTAAATTTTATAATCCTAACGTACAGAGAGCAAACCAAAGAAACACATTATTTAATTCGTTTGGTCTAATGCAGTAACACTGAATAGCCGATCAAATAGCAAGAATGTGTTATATACTGCTGCCATAATAGCTGTTAAATCATTTCATAGAATGCTAATGCACATTTTAACTGCATTGTTATTATTTCTCAAAAACTGCGTTATTTGTGTTAAATTTGGTAAGTTGTTATTGTTGTTTGTTTTGAGTTGATTTTTCAACTTGACCAAAAGCTCACGTGAATTTTGTTTTGCTTCACTCCGCGATCAACCACTTATTTGGTTTGTTATTGTTTTTTTTTAGTTGGTTTTACTTGACTTCAATTTAAATTGAGTTGTTTTAGGGGGCTGAAGTTTAATATCAAAGCTGAATTCAAATTCGACCGACAACTGTAATGGTCAGTCCGAGTCATTGATCTTTGTTAAGGCCGAAAATAATTGGTATGGACGTTGAGCTGCAATGGAATGTTTTTTTTTTTTTTTTTCAAAATAACTCTGCAATACGGTTTTAAAATCATTTTAAAAAAGCAACAACAAGTACTGGTGTTTTTCTAATTTAAATACAACATTT